TGCATCTTGATGTGATTTTCATCATCATTTCATGGGTTCTTATAGGTTTGCCAAATATCTTTGCATGAAGCCTGATGGATGTCCTTCAAACATTCTCCTAGAGCCTTTGTTGAACTTGGCAGGCTGATTGTGACAGTGGCAGCATGACATATGGGAAAGGGCAACAGAATGCCCTCCAGCCTTTGGTGCTATGTATAATGCTACACACCTTTTCATGGTGCCTTGAGTTTCTGTCATAATTTACCATCACTAGCATTCTCCTGGGGATGGGTGGGAGTCATAGTTGTATGAATTGCTGTGTTATGTGGAAACACAACAAAATAATTGAAAGTAGATGTAAACTTATTCTCAGTACTGCATTAGAGTGTGTGCAATATTAGTCAAAAATCAGCATTCTGTCTCACTTGTAATGCAAAACAAAAAGATGCAAATACAAAGTACCATGCGATACTACAGAAATAGATTTGCTTTTTGTAATTAAATATTTACTTCACATTCATGCTGAAGTCCGAAAAACAGCCACTGGAGTGCAGCCCAAACCAAATGAGCCACAATAATTCGCTTTGGAATAAGTCCAACGTACTAATTAAGTTTGTTGTAACTTTTACTGTATCTCAGTGTTTTTTTTTCCCCTTTAATAATAGAGATTGAAACCAAATGACTCCAAACCTCACTCAAGCTCAAGAGTTCCACATAGGCCAAGAATGAATGGTCACTCAAAATCTGTTTCAGAGATCTGCAAATGTGCAGTTGTAGCGCAAAAGATAGCTATATTAGTAAATATAATAATAATCCTTGCATTTGATATAGCGCTTTTCATGTCTTCTAGACTTCTCAAAGCACTTCACAGAATATGCTGTAAAGTGAATTGACTGTATATTTGTGGGCGAAATGTGGCAGCCAATTGTGCACAGCAGTGTCCCACAAACAGTCATGGATTGAAGTGACCAATGTATTATTGCTTTTTTTCTTGAGGGATTATTATCAGGCGTGTGGAGTAAGGAAACTTGCCCAAGGTTTCACCCTGCCGGGAATCGAATGTGTGGCGAGTGCTCTAACCACTGAGCTACAGGACTTCACACATATGTCGGGTTCCCCAAGAATTATTTAATCATCACATTACGGAGTACATTTTATTGACTTTACAAAAATAACTGACAGATAAACATTCTGCCTAGGATATTGTGATTCATAATATAGAACTTTGTTCTCTGCAAGCGACAGCTTCGGCAGCAATGTGTAGAGTACAAATGGATTTGTGAACAAACCAAGTAAATATGGCCTCAAGACTACAGCTTAAATATAAAATTATTACATAATACAAAGTACTTTGTAGTATTGGGGATTACATCATTCAGTGTGAAGGCAATCAAATAATCATATTGTAAAGCACGTGCCAATGGAATAGGAACACACACTCAAAGAACCTCAGTGGAGCTTCCTTGGGTTAATTCTTATGTGCCTGAGCAAATTTGATCTCAAGTTAGATATCAACAGATCTTTGAAGGTTTTATTTTCTAAGGTGTACTAACAGAATGAAAGACCAAATTGGTCCAGAGCTGATTTTATGTCACTTAAGTGGGAGGGTTGGACAATTCAAACTTGATAATATCAAATGCAAATTCCGCAGTCAGAAACAGATTTTGAGTGACCACAGTCACATTCACAGTCTTTGTACTACAGTGAACCCATACATATTTACCTGCAATATTTGGTGTCATTAATGCTAATCACAACTGAGGCCATGCATTCATCAATTGTGGAAGTGCTATAAAAAAACAACCAAAGGAGCAACATGTTGCCCGATATATCCTGCACATTATGACCCAAACTTATCACTGGCCAGAGTTTATTAGACTGCTGAAGTAAAATAAGCACACTTATTGCTTATCACATTTATTAAGATCATGTCCCTTTCTTAATCTATGACAGACCTTCAGGAAAGACCTTAAACTTCCAATTGCCTATGCAAGGTAATGGACTATGTATGTACCTAGCATTGGTTATCTCCGGTTATAACCATCAGATATCTTGGAAATCTTTTGAGGAAAATCGACTGCATAACATTGTGTACGTTGCCTGGGCATCACTTATACATGGAATAATAGCTGCTATAATGGAACTCTGCATACCAACAAAATAGATTAACAATTCAACCCCCGTATATGTAGTTTTTATTACACCACACACACTTTTATTTTATAATTATTTTGAAACATAATTGTTGCCTCAACATAACATCCCTGCCCCAATCCCTGACTACACTTGGCTCTCCAATCAGTTGTGACATCGCGTAATCTGAGGCAAACGTTTATTACAAGGTACCATTCCAGGCTGCAAATCTTTTGGATTCATGGAAGCTTTTAGATAACCCAATGGGGATTGAGGGTAAGTGAAGATGTGCACACATCACACTGGAGGTAAAACTGCACAGACACAAGGATAGTCTACGATATGTTAAGGCAACAGAAAGTGTAAAATACATAAAAGGAGAACAAGAATGGTACCTCCTTAATGTAAAGAAAATGTACCAGAAGAATCTTAATGGGAATGCTCCCATGCGAATAAACAATTGGTGTTATACAATTATGACTATAACAGACCATAAGAAATATATAGAGAAGTCAATAGTGGACCATGAACTGTTCCTTTTAAGCAAATATCCATCAACAGGCACATAGTATATCATTCTTAGTTGACTAGCCTGGAATGTCCACTTTGTATAGTAGAATATTCTAAAGTCCACAAATTTTGCCTAGTGAATATTTCATGTACCAAGATTACTCAGGAGTATTTAGGTTAACAACCTTGTGCGCCCTTACACCATGCCTGAAACCAATCTAATGCCAACCTGACTTACCGAGTTTTGCTCAGCCTACTCCTAGCTATGCCTGCTCCCAATTAATCTCCAAGCCCAAACTATTCCCTCTAATGATTGCAGCTTTGTGCTTTGTCTGCTCCCTCTTAAGAGGATTTCAGTAAACGGTCTTTTATCTGTAGAAATAGTGTCTCAGTGTCTTTAGAAAGCGGAGAAAGAAAAAAATAGATGGACTTGAGCTCCACGGCTATGTCCAATATCAATTCGGGAGGTCATAATAATAATAATAATCTTTGCATTCGATATATCGCCTTATCGTGTCTTTGAAACGTCTCAAAGCGCTTCACAGAATATACTGTAAAGTGAATTGACTGTATAATCAGAAAGAATCAATGAATTCAGAATAAATATACCTCACTGGTCTCTAATTGACTCTTAGTTTCTAGTTGGTTAAATAGCTTCTGCTTCTGGCAATGCCGCTGCCAATGCTATTCTCATCTCGGGTTGTTAGGGGTGAATTGAAATTTGTGCATCTTGTGAATATCGTGAAAATAAATTTGCAAAGAGACGTTTTACAGCATTCAGTGACAGCACTTCACGCGAGAACACAACAAGCAGGAGCAAGGAGCAGCAGCCCTGCTTGAGCATTGCATCAATCTTTTCTAAATCAATGAGTGGCCCCAGTCTACACACTCCCTCCACCTAAAGCTAAAAATAAAACTGTATCAGTTTTGGCAGTGAAAAGGCTGTGACATCACAGTGATAAATGCCATTAAGCAGCACTGTTAATATTCATGTAGAACAAATAGAAAGAACAGTTCACAGAGGCCTTGGATTCCATCCTGACATCTAAAAACAGGACCTTGGAAATTAGTCAGAATTCTTTACTACAGAGATCACTGTGTCAATTTTTATATATTCATAACATACTAATGCTTCTTGGATACACAGAACGTGTAATTTGGGAAAAAGATACACGAAATACTCATATGTCTCATTAATCTGAAATCAAACAACCGCAATCACTTCCCTCCTCCCAACAAACACTGGACGATTCAGTTGTATTGAGTTAGTGGGAGGAAAAGTGTTAACATTGAAGAGTGCTGAATAAACTGCATGCATGTATTTGCCATTTGTATCATTAAATGTTGTTTGCAGGTCATTTAGGAGAACGATGGATGCATCAATGCTTATAGCAAATTGGGATTATCTTGTCCTAAGAGAATTTAACAAAAAAAAAGGAAATGGTGACAAAGCAATGCAGAACACAGCTCCACACTACCTGCACAATGGATCATTTATCATGAAAACCTGCACTGAATACAGCAATCTGCTGAGTGTGCTAAAGGACACTATGCATCTAAAAAAATCAAACTTACTCTTTTTTTTAAAGAAAGGGTGTATTCAAGTTGAAAACATTATTAATTAAGTGCTAATGGGGGGGGAGAATGACAAAATCCTAATGCAATATTGAAACAATGACAATAAAGAAAATTATCAGTATATAAAAAAATCTCTATTGCAAAGAGGAACCTTTAGAGGAAATCACAAGAAGCACAAGGGTTAAGGTTATGCAGAATAGAAAGTGTCAATTACTAAAAATTTAAAAGAACGGAGAGAATTCTCTTGTTACAAATAAGAGCAGCCAACCAAATGCATCTATTTCAGGTTGAGGATTCAATATCCTCATTTTACAATGCACCACAACCACTATCCCCTTGTTTGTGCCAAATATAGCTTATTTACATAAACAACACTTAAAATAAATATGCTTTTTTTTTACACACACTTCTATCTATTTAAGGAAATAAATGAATGCAGGTTCAAACAATTCGGAAAAGGTGTGCGATCCACAAGATGAAAAATAACGTTTCCAATAGCAAAGGATTCCAATGTTAGTGAAATTAATAATTGGGTCTGTTGCTGCTGCCGTCTCCTTCCTGAAGGAGCACATCCCGCAACAATACTGCAGTACACAGTGAGGAATTTAAAAGAGGTAAATTCTCTGCAAACAAAGCAATCGAACAGACCAAACAAAATAATTCAACTAAAAAAGATTGAACGTTGGTACTACTGGATCTTTTTCATGCAGACATAATGACAGATTTTTTAAAATTACATGCTTGATGTATTGGAATTAGAACAATGGAATGTGCAGATGGCTCTTTTTTTCTCCAGGTACCTTTTTCTTTCGATCCCGAGAACGCTTTCTGTGTTTTCTTATGGCTTTTTCCTCATCAACTGAGTTCACAACTTCTATTTCCCGATTTTTCTTAAGATGAGAAGCAGCATGAGCCATAGCTGGCACAAATATCCCCTCAAATGTGTCGGTTTAGGTAAAGTATGATCCTGACACCTTTAACCAGCTGCACAGCCAGTGTTCTGAGAAAGATTTTTTTCTCCTCTGCTTTTCGTCACCAAGAAGAAGCTGAAACCATGGATGGTGCTGTGGTCCTTCACTTGATAAAGGCAGGAACTAATTGGACGTATAATGCAGATTTCCTCATCTACCTTTGCATCTTAATAGAAGCAAACCATCACAGAGTGCAGCCATTCTGATGCATTAATGTAATGAAGAAGCCAGCTGGGACAGTGAAGGCAGTATTATGGCTGTATCCCCTGCCACCAGCTGGAAGTGCCTAAGTGACTTCAATGATGGGGGAAAATCCTAATAGAGGTATTATGTACATCAGGAGATGCAAAACTAGAGAACGTGTTAAATATTACACAAGTCGTACTGCCAAATATTAATAAGCATTTATGCTTTACGGAGGAGCAGAGAATCTTTTTATTTTCTGTTCGTATTTACAGACAGTGATGATTTATAACATCCATCAAACCTGTGCTACAGTGGAATGGGTCTTTCTACAATGCTGATGCAGACAAAAAAAAATAACATTCCCATTTTCCCACATAGGCCAAAGACTGCATTATGGAGCAAATGAACAATGCGACTCTCACACTGACACATTCTCCACATTTTTCCCTAATCTTGCAATATTCTATGAAATGATTTAAAGGAAGGTCATAATAGCCACAGCAAAATTTCTGATACAATTGCTTGTAACTGTGCCTTACACCCAAGATCTAAATATATAATCAGACTGGCTTGCAGAAGCGCCACATTTTGAAGGGGATTGCTTCTACCTTCCATTCACTAGGTAGGAAATCAGCTAAAGGGTAAAATCTTGGAATTGTTGCTCTAATATTAAATGCTTGTGTCAATGCATTTTTAGCCATAGCAAATTTCAATTGTTTTATTACATTTTTCCACCTAAGCCTTCACTGATTCTGACTGCAGCATTTGAATATTCATGAGGGATAGGGGGGAAAAAAAGCTGCAAGCACAGGCCTAAGGTTTAGTAATACCTGAAATCACAGACAGAAGCTATGTATTTTAAAAAATAATGTTGCAACTGGCAATTTTTTCAGAATATCTTAACAAATTGCATCAACACCCTAAATAAGATAAATATACTTTAAATTGCAGGAAAAGATATTCCTGGGTCATAGAGGAATTGGCAGAAGTTTCAATGGCTTATATTAAAGCAGAATATTGCAAGATTAGGGGGAAAATATGAAGAATGTAATTACCCGGGACCCATATTGTTCATTTGCTTCATGTAGTCTTTGGCTCTATTTGGAAAATGGCTATGTATTTCTGCACCAGCATTGTAGAAAGACCCATTTCTCTGCAGCACACCTTTCATGGGTGCTATAAATCATCACTGCCTGTAAATTACTTTGTGTTCCACTGCAAAGCATATATAGACAATAATATTTGAGAGTGACTTATTTCATATTTTTTATTTTTGCATCATCTGATCTAAATAATTAATAAAATGGGCCAGCCCAGGCATGGACAATAAGGAGAAGGATTTATGTGTGAACAAAGGTTTGTAGAAGTGAGCTTTGTTCAGATCTTCCCTCGCGATTATAGTTACTTAGAAGAATGTTCTGTTTGTCAAAACAATAGCATTGGATGAAGTCAAAGCCTTTTCATCTATTCTGCATTCTCTCAACTAATAACATGAAGAAAGTGAATAGCTGATTATGTAAAAGAGTGGCAGAAATACAGTAGCAGCATTGATGACCCTACTATTAAGTAACAGTATATATTTCACATGCAAGCCAACAGTTCAAATACAAAAGTGACCCATTGTGGATGAATGAGGAAATGGACCAGGAGCAGAACTTGGCCAGAACACTTCTTGCCTCGAAAGCCCAGTTGTGCCTTTTACATCGAAATTACATTAATGAAACGTTGCCAAATAACAGTATCCTCTCAGGAGGTTTGACATCAGTAAATTACAATGTTGCTGGCAGTCAATACATTTTACAATTTATCCTATGAAGCACTTTGAGATGTCTCAATGACGTGATAAGGAACTATAGCAAATGCAAGAATAATTATGACCCCATGCAGCAATTTAATACTTGTTAGTCGATAGGCAGATCGCTTTCCTGGGAGTAATAACCCCTTTTTTAAAAAAATGTGGTCACTCAATCCCCATCTGTTTATAGGACACTGATGTGTTCAATTGACTGCCACATTTCGCCCAAAAATATACAGTCAATTCACTTAACAGTATATTCTGTTAAGCGCTTTGAGACATCTCGAAGATGTGGTAAGGCGCTACATCAAATGCAAGGATTATTATTATTATTATATCAAATCCAAGGATTGTTATATGTCTGCACTGTTTCTACACAAATATGCAGGTTGAGTTTTACTCAGAAGGTAATTAATGGGTTACCAAGAAAAGTCCTTGAAGTCAGGACCCTGGATTCATTTTTAGAAAATACTGTAATAGGAAGGCAAAAGAGTGGGTACTCTGGAATATGAGCTGAAATGGGCGAAAGAGATTTCTTCATCTGTCTTTCTTTTGTAATTAAATCACAACGATCACAATGGTAATGAAGATGCCCATTTAAGAGCATGAAGAACAGAAAGAGCTAGGGTTATTCCTTCAGCAAAATTCCCACTGCAAAGCACAAAGTGATCCGAGGAGAGTCGGTTTGGTTTGGGCGTCAAAATTGGCCTTTTGCTTAGAAGCTTACCTCTTATTAAAATACTAACACTGGAGGAATACACAATTCATTAAAAGTAAAGGCACCTTCAGAGAGCAGAAGATGTCTATGCTTCAGATCAGCTGATGATTCCAGTGACGTTGGAAGTCTGTTATTGGGCAGGTTAAATTGAGAAATATATGTATGCCCTTGTGGTTTGGGAGTATGGCTGGTGATTGAAGATTTTGCATTTTGTTCAGGCACAAAAAGAGAAGGTAAAAGCACCTTGGAAGCGAATAGTGTATAAAGAAGTAAATTCTGACCAGTTCCAGCTGGTAGCTATGAAAAGCGCTATATCAAATGCAAGGATTATTATTATTATTATTATTAAGAGGGAAAATGAACAACAGAGAATTGAATGTGGGGTTACTTGGGAGAGGAGAAGGTCACGAGAATTAACAATCGGATAATAAATCAGATGGTCCAATCGTGTGAATTTGGGTTAATGGGTTAATTGTATAGATTTAATGCCAGAGATGGGGTAGTACTGATAGAATTGGGTCAATTTGAATGAAAGTGTGGTTGTATGCATACTTAGTGTATGGCTTAAGGATTGCCAGCAAGTGGCACATATGGGGCAGTAATGCATATAGTAGAATCAGACAGCAGGTAGGGCTTTGGCCTGCAACTGGAGCTAAGTTATGTTGAGAGAAATGAAATGAGCGAAGGTGGTTAGCATTGGCTGCAATAGTACTGTTAATTGTAATTTTTTGAACAATATGACACATTGACATTTTAGAATCTTTGATTTAACATTAGAATGACTCCAGAAGAGAGAAAGCAATGAACGCACAAGAGAGAGACATATATATCAAACCATAAACCGCCAAATCTAGATGGTAGAAAGAAAGCAATTGGGTAATGATTAGGATCAGGATATGGACCCAGTTTTCAACAGCTACTTGTATTTATACAGCACCTTTCACATAGAATAATGTCTTGGAATAAGCAGGGGACAGACCCTGAGCAGGGGAGAAGGGTAAGGGAGAGGTGACCATATATACGATTGAAGAGGGAGGTTGAAGGCAGGACTTGAAGATAGATAGAGAGGGGTAAATGTAAAAGGTGGGACGGAGGGAATTCCAGAGGTTTGGGGTGTATAATTTTCAGTTGGATAGTGGATACTTGGGTGCCAGGGATGGGAAAGGAGGCAAAAGCGAAATAGAGAGGGAGGGAAGAGCTAGATGTAGGTGAGAAAAATAGTCGCCATTAATGGGGGTCTGTAGATTGCACTGTTGATAGTCCTACCCTTACTTGTTTTTGTGCAATTACTTTCAAAATATTTTCTTTAAGAAATGAATAGGGATTTTGACCTATCCACCTTGTGAGGGCTCAAACCCACTTGTCGGATGTCAAATGGCAAGCAATCAAGTTTTAGTGGGTTAGACACCAGCAATATCCCAACATACACTCTGGGGTACCCCAGCCTTGTCTCTTCCTAACGTGCGCCAATTACTCTGTGAAATTAGGTAAGAGGGATACATATCTCCAGGGAGTGAGTTTGCATTCCATTCCAATAAATATCTCGAGAATTTCCACAAAGAGGTGGGATGCATGGAAATCTGTTTAGTTTGGATATTCTTAAGCATGGTGAAGGGTTTCCATATGTGACACCAGGCTGAATGCCCCCAAAACAATCTGGGATGCATCTTTCTTATCAAGAGACTCCAATAAACTAGTTATTTCGGCTTTTATTGAGTTGGCTGATCTCAGCTAGGCTGACAATATACACGATTCAGCAACTCTGAACTCTGAAAGGAATCATGCAAGGCTTTCTTATCCCGATCACAAGCCAGTCTTCCTACTGAAAAATGTTCATGTGTAGTTCTCAAGTGAGAAAATAAGGAGGGAAAACAAAGAAAACTATTTATTCCAAAACAGTTAAACGACTTTCCTTTGGTAAGGGTATTTCCTAAGTGTGTAAGTCTCCCTTCCTTATCAACCAATCGGGAAAGGAAAGTTATCACAAAATTGCATTTTAGAATTCATGGTTTGTACAGCCAAAACAGAAAGGAGACAGATGAATATTTTGTTCAAATTACATGGAAATGCAAACCATTCCTTCTGTAGTTTGAGGCAGCACCTCCTTGCCTTTGATTCCGATTTTAAAGTCCCCGCAAATATTTCTCTGCCTTACATTCTCTCTCATCCTTCTAAAAACCTATCTCTTTGACTGTGCTTTTGGTCATTTCCCACCTACCCCCTATTTCCCACCTACACTGATTGTCCAGCGCTTTGGGATGTACTCCAGACATGAAAGGTGGTATACAAATGTAATTTTGTTGTTGTTGTTATTTCCCACCTTGCTCAGGCTTCCACATTGTCCCTGTAAAGTACCAAGAGACATTATCCTACATGAAAATGCTATGTAAATACAAGGAGTTGTTGCTACTTACAAGACTTTTATAGGGAACTGTTAATAACAAGTACTTATGTGAGAGCATGCACTGCACATTCACCAAATACTGTACACAGCAAATATGACACA